TTTTTTTTGAGGTGGAGTCTCACTCTGTCACCTAGGCTGGAGTGCAGTAGACACTCACAGCCACCCCAGCGTCAACCTGCTGGGCTCCTGCGATCCTTCTGCCTCAGCCTTCCAGGTAGCCGGAACTACAGGCACATGCTACCACGCCCGACTGATTTTTGATGTATTGTAGAGGCGAGGTCTCGCCAAGTTGCCCGGGCTGGTCTCGAACCCGCGGGCTCAGGCAATTCACTCACCTTGACCTCCCAAAGTGCTGGGAATACAGGCTGAACCACTGAGCCCGGCCAGATATATATACCTTTACATAAACTCTGCCATTTTGTTAAATACTTTCACTTTGAGATTTGAATTAAAAGGGTAACTATCCTTGAAGATAATACTAGGTTAGTTTTAGGTAAATTTGTTTTATAGCAATGAATAGGTCTTCTGTATGGCAAGCTTGTTTCAGCAGAATGTAGTTGGTTGGGAAATAGTAATTAGGAAAATAAAAGAATAAGAATAGTTGCTATATTTAAATACTTTGTCTTGCCTCGGAGTAAGTTATGGTTATATGGTGAGAAACTTTGTTCTCCTTGATAGAGGGTTTTGTTTTGCTTTGTTTTTTGAGGTAGAAAGATATGGTTTAGAAGTTCTTTTATAAAGGGAGCTGATGCACACTTTTGGCAGCTGAGTGCAGTCTGTTTCTGGCGTTACTCTGTAATTGAGAGGCATGTTAATATCCTCATAAAAGACATTTTGCTGCCTTTGTTTAAATGCTCAGCTGTTCTGGTGCCCGTTATTTCCCCCAGGCAGCCAGTGACTGACTGGAGTCAGCAGGTTTTTATAGCGTTAACAGCAGTTTGCTCTTTTATTTTTAATGTGATTCTTAATCCCCTGCCTTTTTTTTTTTTTTTGTAGGTTTCTGCAACTGAGAATAGCCTGGCATTCCGTTCCACCGCTGCTGAAGATGACTCCCGTAAGCATTTGCTCTTAGATCTCAAAAGTGAGGTCCCTGTTTTCTATCCATATTTGGTTCAGGGGTATTCCCATTACTGTCAGTACTGAGAAAATAACATACTAAATCCAAATTTAGCTGATCAAATCTTACACTTAGTTTTGAGGACTAATTCTTTACACATTTCATAGCCTAGGGAGAAGCTAAATTCAATGAAATGTAGTTAACTTAGGACAGACTCAATACTTTGATGCTTCTCTTCTTGAACTTATCCTGCCTTTTGTACCAAACCCTTTCAGGGTTAAAGCTGTATATACTAAGTTTGAAGTTTCTTTTTATTAGAAGTTTGCTCAAGAAGGATTTTATTTGGGCTGGGTGCAGTGGCTCACTCCTATAATCCCAGCACTTTGGGAGGCCAAGGTGAGAGGATTGCCTGAGACCAGGGGTTCGAGACCAGTCCAGACAACTTGGCAAGATGTCATCTGTACAATAATTTTAAAAAATAGCCAGGCATGGTGGTGTGTATCTTTAGTTTCAGCTACTTGGAAGTCTAGGTGGATGGATCGCCTGAGCGCAGCAGGTCGAGGCTGCAGTGGCTGTGAGCATGGCACTGCACTCCAGCCTGGGCAACAGAGTGAGACTCCATCTCAAAAAAAAAAAAAGGATTTCATTCATTTATGAGGATAAAGAATAAGCATCTTAGTACCCTGTTAAATGTATCTTTTCCCTATTCACCAAAATGTGTACCCTAGTCCACCCCCTCTGCCAGGTTCTGGGGATTTTCCTGCTGGTGCTGAATTTTGTTACCTTTCATGCTACTTTGGAGTCGTTTTGAGCTCCCCTTTGCCAAAGACAAAAATATTTTGCTTTTATTTTTCTATGCCCACTTTTGATACTGATTTTCAGTATATCATTTTTAAATATGTATATATGGGTTTCTAGCTTCTCCCCAGGCTAATTAGACACTGAAATTTCCACATCTAAAGTAGGAGTATGAACTAAACAAATCTCTATTAAATCTTAGCTTAAAAATCTCAGAGAAAAACTCTTGCTACTTGAATATAGGAACATTCCTTTCTGTAATCATTTTTCTTGGACTAGAAATGTTTGAGTTTATAAAATGTTTTTTATGAAAAATAAGCCTTCATCTTTTAGTACTTTGTTGACTCAACACTAGATTTTAAGGAATTCCTTTATGGTTCCTTAGTTGCTGTGTAAATGACTTTTCTTCTGAGTTCCACGGGATGAGTATACCGGCAGGAAATTAACTCATGCAGTTGGCACTTACATGACTTTGAAAAACACTTCATGGAGCTCTTTTTCATAATCTTCATCCATGAATATCTGCCATAGGACTGACCAAAAAGACAGTGTCAGGTTATACACATATACATGCACGCTTGTGCGTGCACGCACACACAGACACACACACACACACACACACACACACACACACACACACACACACACACGTTATGGAACCTCTGCCCTGACATTCCACCATTTCTCCAATGTTAGTTGAAGCACCCCAGAAGAAGTTATTAGAAGTGCTAACTACCAAAAAGACATTGTCTATAAACAGCCTTTAAAAATAACAGGCCAGGCTCTGTGGCTCAGCCTGTAATCCCAGCACTTTGGGAGGCCAAGGCGAGTGGATTGCCTGAGCCTGCGGGTTCATGACCCACCCAGGCAACTTGGCGAGACCTCGTCTCTACAATAAATCAAAAATTAAGCCGGGCTCGGTAGCTCAGCCTGTAATCCTACGCCTTTGGGAGGCTGAGGTGAGTGGATTGCCTGAGCCCACGGGTTCGAGACCCGCCTGGGCAACTTGGTGAGACCTCATCTCTACAATAAATCAAAAATTAGCCGGGAGTGGTAGTGCACACCTGTAGTTCCAGCTACTTGGAAGGCTGAGGCGGAAGGATCGCCGGAGCCCAGCAGGACGAGGCTGCGGTGACCGGGAGCGGCCACTGCACTCCAGTCTGGGCGACAGAGTGAGACTCCAACTCAAAAAAAAAACGAAAATTAGCCGGGCATGGTAGCGCGTACCTATAGTTCCGGCTACTTGGAAAGCTAAGGCAGGAGGATCACCTGAGCCCAGCAAGTCGAGACTGCGGTGGCTGGGAGCATGCCACTGCACTCCAGTCTGGACAACAGAGTGAGACTCCAACTCCCCCCCCACCAAAATAACAAATGGTACAGGGAAGAAAGTTCCTTTTACAGGGTGGTTTGGATTCCTGTCTTCATGCTAAGTGTGACCGAGGGTAAGAAAGCTTCCTCACCGAGAACCTGACTTGTAAGAGGACCTGAGAGAACCTAAGGAGCATAACTTTTGGTGCTAGAATATTCTTCAACAGAAGAGCAGTGTTTTCCTGTGTTGAAAGGGCCTGTCGTTCGTGGAACATGCCCAAACTTTGCTTTCCAGGAGAACCTTTACTGACACTTCCCCTGAGATACCGTATAGTGTCTTCCTCTTGTATCTCAAGCAGGTAACATCCAGGTGAAGAGTGAGGTCCAACAGCCTGTCCATCCCAAGCCACTAAGTCCCGATGCCAGAACCTCCAGCCTTTCCGAAAGTTCTCCTCCCAAAGCAGTGAAGGTATGATGGCTAGTTCTGTCTGAGCCTTGAGACATTGGTTTACTGGTAGAGCTTGTTGCATCTTTTATTATTGTTGATTATAACCTATTTTTGCTTTCCTAGGGACAATAATGTCAAATAAGGGCACTCTTAAGCTAATTCCTTACCCTGGAAATCTTGCTGCTGCTTAGATGTTTAGGACAGGAGGGGGAAGCCTCACTAATGACTCCCAGTTTGAAATCTGGAAAACTCATGAAAAGTTTAAGAAAACCTGAAGTGAAATGAAATAATGTGATTTTTTAAAAAAATCCAAGTTCATAAGTCTGTGAGTGGGTGAAAGCCCACAAACTTAGAAATACAAGAAATCTGTCAAACTAAAATCAGCTCATTTGACACAGATTTGCAATGTCAGACTGGGTGCAGTGGCTCATGCTTGTAATCCCAGTGCTTTGGGAGGCTGAAGCGGCAGGATTGCTTGAGCCCAGGAGTTTAAGATCAGCCTGGACAACATAGCAAGACCTTTTCTCTACCAAAAAAAAAAATTAGACAGTTATGGTGGAACACGCCTTTAGTTCCAGCTACTCTGAAGGCTGAGGCAGAAGAATTGCCTGAGCCTAGGAGGCCAAAACTGTGGCGAGCCATTATTGTGCCACTGCATTCCAGCCTGGGACTACAGAGTGAGACCCCACCTCAAAAAAAAAAAAGAAAAGTTAGTGACTTCCTGGTCTAAGGAGTTTTTGCCTATTACCTGTTTGGTTGGTGGCATTCTTAAAGGAATAACATGTCCACTGGGATGGGGATTGGCTAGCCCATTTTCTGTAAAAATCAGCATTCGGGCAACACTTATACTAGATGTAATATTAGATGTTAAGGATTGTACAGAATTTTTGAATGCTAAAAAAGTTTTGCAGGTTTACTCAATCTATGATCTGTTTTTTGTTCCTCAATTTAAAAAAAAATCACCTTTTCCCTTTCTGTGAGCAAACATATATTCCCATAAAAGTAAACAAAAACTGTTTTTAAAATTTTAGAACTAATTTTCAGCTTGTTAACTGACTTGTTTGAATTGAATATCTGCCAATACAGTATTACTTCACCTATTGGTTGTTAATAACCAAACATACCCACACTTCTTTAGTGTCTTTCTCCTCTGGTACTCTCTTAAGTAGCTGGGTTGTGTTTCAATGGTGTTAGCATTTGAGAGAAACTCAATAGGTAGAATTAGTTTTAAGGTGGATTGTGCTGCCCGACCTCTTGCTCTTATCTGCCATGCTTGTATCTCCTAACCGTGTGCAAGATTGGTTTTTTGATGAAAGTTTGAGTGCACAAAAAGAAGAGAAGAGGACATAGGTAAGGCTTTGGAACAAAACGAGGAAAGGGGAGACTTCAGGATGTAATGGATGGATTAAAAAGGGGGGGATATGGAGAAGATAAACACAAACATTTTAAAGGAGGCAGAGATTTATGAGGAGAGTAAGGTTTCTTGAAAAGGAACAAAAGGTGAAGAAATCACAGGAGAGTGCGAATCCAAGAAGAAAGAGTGGGATTGTGGTGATGAAATCTGCATGTGTACTCAGCGTGACTGTTCTGGCCTTGAAGCGCTGCAGTGCTGTGTTCAGCACTTTATTTTTCAGTCTCTGGAGTCCTACAAAATAGCAAATGCCACAGGGCTACTCTTCACCAGCAGCTCTGCCTAGATGTGAGTGCGTGGGTTGCGGTTCTGGATCAAGAATGGCTACTAAGTCTGACTTGGTCATGGGTTTTGTGTGACCAAAGGATCTGAGGAGAAAGTCCCTGGCTAATCTAACTAAAACTGGTCTTGTGATTTCTCAGTGCAGTCTGGCTTCCCTCCCTCAACTGCTTGGCCAGACCTTCTTGTGGTGGGTTGGGATCCCTCCTGATTCAACCCCCGGAGTCTGAGCTATGAGGGATGTGTGAAGGGGCTCATTCACTTAGGTCTTTCTTGGCACCAGAGAGAGGAGACAGAGGTAAAGCCCTCTCTGCACCTGCCTCAGACTCATGCCTGCTTCTTTGGCCCTGTTACACAGCAGTAGAATGCAGACAGCCCTGCCGTCACCCACTCACACCTCAAATTCTGAGCACGTATAGCCACTGGAATAAAATAGCTGCTTCCCTCTGTTTGCCAGGATCTAAAGCTCAAATGGTCACAGTGTACAGAGCCTGATGGGACCCAGTAACATCCCCACTTTTATTTTAGGGCAATTTATTTGCTCTTTCTTACAGTTCCCCTTTATACTCTGCAGACAAACACAGAGATACTTAGTAAATGTTTATGGGAAGACCTGCAAGCATAAATGGTCTTATGACTGTGTAGACTGTGAACAGAAGTTGTTTCCCCACTTTGGGACATTACATATAGCTAAGAATAAACTTGTTCACTCAGAATAGATTTTTGAATCCCACACATCCTGGAAAAAACTGTTCCTTAAGTGCCTGTCATTGAAAAGAGGACATCTAAGGTAGAGATTCAATTCATTTCAGATTTTACCTTAGTAAAGTAAAAATAAACAAACAAAAAAACAAGGCCTGGCGTGGTGGCTCAAGCCTGTAATTCCAGCACTTTGAGAGGCTGAGGTGAGAGAATTGCCTGAGCCCACAGGTTCAAGAACAGCCTGGGCAACTCCACAATAAATCAAAAAATTAGCCGGGCATGGTAGTGCACACCTGTATTTCCAGCTACTTGGAAGGCTGAGGCGGAAGGATCACCAGAGCCCAGCAGGTTAATACTGGAGTGGCCGTGGGCGTGCCACTGCACTCTAGGCTGGGTGACGGAGTGAGACTCCAACTCAAAAACTGGGCACAGAGCTCAGTTGATGAGACTTGGTGCTAATGAAGTTGAACTTGCACATTCATTCCCAAAAGGAGTGTGGTTCTGAGAGCTCAGCTCAGAGGACCCTGGAGAAGGATCAGGCCCTTTCCACTTCAAAAAACTGAGAGGTTTTTAATTGTCAACTATACCTCAATAAAGTTGGGGAAAAGGAGAAAAAAAGAGATTTAGCGATCACTTAAGCTTTATGTCCTCATTTTAAATAAGTCATCCCTTAAAGGTACCCAGAGGGAGAGGATGGAGAGGAGGAGGCAAGGAGGTATGACTGGCCCTAGGGAGCACCCACCTGCCTCACTGTGTCGGGTAGCCCAGGCTGGACTTCCTCGAGTGGTGCTGTTGGTAGACGTAGGGAGAAACGTGGCAGTCTGTGTGTGAGGACATGCATTGCAGTGTCCTTGTGGATGGGGTAGAAGGTTTTATGCTGGGTTGCAAAGCTGTCAGAATTATGCCAGAAGGGCACCTAGAATCTTTTCTCACTCACTACTGCTTTCCCAGAGCACTAACCTGCCCTTTCCATGTAGTCTACTTAAAAGACGAGTAGTCCTTGAAATGCTTTCACTGAGAGTTTCACAGAAAGCCAGGGGAAGGGGGAAGGCTGCACAGAGCTGGCCCAGCCCTTTACTCTGCGGTGAAGAATTTCAGTTTCGTTACCTAGACGTTTTGCACAAATTAGAAGGAGGGAATGAAAGGCATGTTGTGGTATTCTGAGGAATGGTGCCTTGACATCAGTAAAGAATTTTCTTCTGCTTTCACTGTGTCTGAAGGCTAATTAGTATAATTGCCTGTTGCCAGCTGCTCCCCCCAACACCTCACCCCCAACTGGGGCCTTTATTAGACTAAAAAATATATGTAAAAAAACAAGAGAGTGAAAGAATGTAGATGAGCTGCGCAAATTTATTGGAAAAATAGCTTTAACTAGATGCTTATCAACGGGGGTCTGTAATATCCCTCCTATGGGAAAGACCGTGTCTATGAACATCAATTATTAATATATTGCAGCATTCATTTCAGAATATCCTGAAGATATTATCAACACATTTTAATTTGGAACAAAGTGAAGACTGTAGCTTGTTCAAAGTGCTATAGTGAGATTATCTTCATTTGGGTTAGCATCTGCTCTCTTCCCCAAAGAGTTTCCTTTAGTTATGGAAATTTAACATTCCAGGACAATTTAGAAGATGCTCTGTTGGCTTGTGAGCAGGTATACGTCAACCTATCCTCCAGAGGCTCAGAGCCGGAAGAAAGAGGCTGCCAAATACAGTTTCTCAGAAAGAAACATTTAGTAGGGATTTTACAAACAGTAGCAATGTCTGGGCAGCCATGAGACAGTGGATCCCTGCACCTGCCCTCCAGAAAATATCCTTATATAATAGCAAGCTTTTTTTGGCAAAACATATGCAGCTGGTCGAGTCCTTCTCAGACTTTCTTGTGAAAATTGTGACCACTGGGGGACTTAGGTAAGCATCTTTATGAGGTCTTATCTAGGCTACTTAGTTAAATATCAATGGAGGCGCAGGGGTGACTCACACTGGTAATCCCAGCATTTTGGGAGACTGAGGTGAAAGTATTGCTTGAGCCCAGGAGGTCACGACCAGCCTGGGCGACACAGTGAGACCTTGTCTCCACACAAAAAATTAGCCAGGCGTGGTGGTACACATTAGCTGGGCATGGTGGCCTGTGCCTATAGTCCCAGCTACTTGGGAGGCTGAGGCTCAAGGCTGTGATGTGCCGTGATTGTACCACTGCACTCCAGTCTGGGTGACAGAGTGAGACCTTGACTCAATAAAATAAAAGTAAAATTTAAATGTAAAAAGAACCATCAGCAGCATGGGGCTTTCACTTCAAGGTAGCATCACTCTTGTCATGGCAGGCAGTTTTCCTACAGAGTTTTCATTCTAATTCTGTTACTGGCTGTGTGAAATTTGATAGGGCACCTGACATCCTGGTGCCTAACTTTCTACATGGTTGGGGCAAATTGATGGGGAAAGAGGAACGAAAAAAACTCACATGACTGAAAAAATACATTGAAAGGATAAAAAATGTTTAACATTCTCATATCGGCAGTGTTTTGAATGTGGCTGTGCCAAGTCTGAGCATGTCATGAAGGCATGGGCAGGACGTATGCCAGGCCTGCGATAATGGTAGAGATTTTTGGGCACTGACTATGCTTCCTGTTGTCTGAATAGGCACGGGGGCAATTACAGAAAAGTGGCTGAGAGCCCAGGACAGGGAAAAGAAAGGGAGGGCGCAGCCGCAGCCGCCGCGACTTGGCACGTTACCACATTGGGATCCTCTTGTCTTTATGAAACTATGAGGGCCCTTGGGCAGCTGCTGCAGTGTAAAACCTTAAACAATATCGGAAAGGGTTTATGTGAGAAATGAATGGGAATGATGATAGGGAAATCTGCTCGGTCTGGCTAGTTGGAAGCTTGTGGTTCGTCGGTTGTTCGAGCCACCGGTCTGTTAATTTATGTTAAGGAGGAGGAAAGACTTTTCACTTGTGTGGGTGAAGGCTGCATTCAAGAGCGAGCCATTGTGGGTCAGGTGTGGGAGGTAGTAAGACACTAAAGAATTGTTAACGAGACACTCCTTGTGTGGGTGAAGGCTCATAAAAGCTCTCCCTCCTGAGCTGGGATATGTTCCAGCCTCAGGTAGATATGAGTGAGGCTGATTTTGCCAAGATTAGCAGTTACTTGAAAAGGAAAGAAAATGTGGTCTTATTCCTGGCTCTGAGTCTCTGAGTTTCAGCTCAGCTGCAGTAGAGCGCTTCAGGGCACACCAAATGCTGTGTATTTATTGAAGGTTCCTGTTTGTCTCTTCCAGCTTCTGCTTCCTGCTCCCGGTACCTAATTTCTGCTCCTGCCTTCCACTTTCCTCCTAATGTGAGCTCAACTCTCAGCTTTCTCTCAGGTTCTCCTTTCCTTCCGTTCACGGGGCTGCGCCCTTCCCCTACAGTGTGTTCTTCCCTCCGTGTGTTTGTAAAGGAGGCGTGTTCTGTATCCCTCCGTTCCCTTTTAGCAGAATAGTATCCTCTTATACCATGTGACGTTTCTGTCTCCTCCTGTGTCTTTACTGACCAGAATGAGTACTTATTCTCCTAAATCTATGTCAAGTGTTAAAAACACAGAATCCGAGACCAGAAGCAGTGGCACGTGCCTGTTGTCCCAGCACTTTGGGAGGCTGTGGTGGGAGGATCGCTTGAGCCCAGGAGTTCGAGACCAGCCTGGGCAACATAGTGAGACCCATATCTACCCCCTCCCCCCTCAAAAAAATATAGAATCTCCTCTCTGCAACTGAAGAACATTTTCAATCTGGTAAATAAATTCATGCTATTACTATTACATTATGTGAATTGCGATTTGTACAGGCTCTCTCTAATGACTTTGATTATACTAGTACACTCAAATTTTAATGTGTCTCCTGCCTGCTAGACAAAGATCTAGTTTTGGTTTTTTTAGAGAAAACCTAATTAAAACTATGCAAAGACATCTCCATTGAAGTCCTCTCTTGCTTGCAGTGTCCATATAAGAAAAAAAGAATTTTGAGTTTCAAATACTATAGTGACTTCATTGCTTGCAACAGCATTCAATATAATAACATTTGGTCACATTTAAATACCTCCCTTATGCTTGGTAAATTAGGTTGTAGTCTGTGGTCTTTTGATTCTTTAATTTTTTTTTTTATTTTTGGTACTCTACCTATAGAATGAAGGGAGTGCTAATAACTAGTCATTTTCAGTCCGTTTTGCTCCTTCCATCTTAAATATGTTGGGTGCTGTTTGGGAGTTTACCACCAATTTTCTTAAACCCCTTTTAATATAATTTCCCCTTTATTTCCATTTAATGCTCATTCTCTGCTCTCATTTCCTGCCCAAATCTACTTGGAAAACGATGCCTATTTTTTGCTTTACTGCCTAGTGAATCATGTGGCAAGTGAGCCAGCAGCCTGAATTTTTTATGGGCCTGTTTTTGTGGGGTTTTTTTTTTTTTTTTTAATCAAAATTCTATCTTGCTCATAACCTGGTTCGTTTTAGGCTTTGCCATTCAGGTCCTGGACCTTGGAATTAATTTGCATTATTTACCATCATGTGTTTTCTGGCGAGAGTCCAAGCTGGTCTTGGCAGCAGAGGGGGCCTCCTCGTTGCCGATGAGAGCTTCCCGGCCTCCTGAGTTGCTTCCTGCATCTGCTGGTTGAGGTGTTTGTGTTGAGGCAAGTTAAGGTTACTCACACACACCTAGGGACCTCTTACCCCCACCCCTCCTCCTTAGTTGCCAAGTGACAATTTCTTAGCATGCAAAAGCGTGTAATGTTTTTGGAATTCTGACTTTTACCAGTGCTAGAATACCAGCTGTTTTCTATTCTTTGGGATTTAGTATACCAGGTGGAACCAGTGTACCCACTTTGATTCCACCCTTTACAAACAGGTTACGAATTCCCAGTCATTAATGTATTAGCTAATGCATTCCGCATTGCATGTGTCTTATTCTCCATTGGCTTTTACAAATATTATAAAACCTTATTATATTATATTATATTATAAAACAAATATTATAAAGCTTTATTGGGCTATGCTTCCTTCTGGTGTGCTAATAGTTTGTGTCTCTTATAAATCATTCCATTTGTCAGTTTTGACTTGTTTAAAAATATTATGCCCTGTTGATTGAGCAAGTCAAGATGGTAAGCAGAAGGGAATAAATGATGCTCTACGTAAATGTCTTTTCCTAATTCCCAAAGCCAAATGCTCCTCCTCTCCTTGAAATGTACCCCCTTCAGAATCTGTTCTCAGACTAGTCTGTCCTGCTTTTACTTGGCACTTAAGTCAGACTTCGCTCTTCTGTGTGTGATGCCATTTTCTCCTAATCCTTGCCCCCTCTCCACCTCCTGCCATCCTGTGCTCCTAACATTTTTTGTGCATAGTGGCTTATCGAAGCCTTCCTGTGCAATCCAGCCCTCGCTCTACCTGTCCTCAGTGGCTGCTACATTTAGGGCAGCAGGACAGTTTGGGAAAGGAATTCAGAAGAGCTTCTTGGCTTTAAAGAGTCAACCAGTAGATTTAATGCAGGTTTAGCATTCCTTTGAGAATTGACTGACCAGCTCAGGGGGCCCTTAGATAGAGTCAATACTAGGGACCCATCAGCAGAATCCTAACTCATTACTGCCTGTACTAAAGTTGCCTTTTTCACTTTCCTAGAAGTTTCAGGCACCTGCAAGAGAGACCTGCGTGGAATGTCAGAAGACAGTCTACCCGATGGAGCGGCTCTTGGCCAACCAGCAGGTGTTTCACATCAGCTGCTTCCGTTGCTCCTATTGCAACAACAAGCTTAGGTAAGCCAGACCAAACAAGCTGTCTCTGTATAGTTGGAGCTCTGGTCGGAGTCTTGGGCTTTTAGAGCTATGAGACTAAGACCTATTATGCTAATGACATTCTGTGAGGGCTCTTGAATAAAGTACAAAGCACCATTTAGTGACAGGTCTTTCATATCAAATAATAATGGTTTTTGAGACTTCTTGGTCCATCGCTATGTTAATTTTCATGATAGGACTGAAGCTTAAATAATATGGGTTGCAGGTAAAATCCTCTGTGACCTAATTTAGTAGAATGTTTTCCCTTGGTATCATGGAATCATAAAGTTAAGACATCTTAACCAGGTTCGGTGGCTCAGCCTGTAATCCCAGTACTTTGGGAGGCCGAGGTGAGTGGATTGCCTGAGCCCACAGGTTCGAGACCAGCCCAGGCAACTTGGCACGACCTCATCTCTACAATAAAATTTTTTAAAAAATAGTCAGGCATGGCAGCAGGCGTCTGTAGCTCCGGCTAGTCGAAAGGCTGAGGCAGAAGGATCTCTGGAGCCCAGAAGGGTGACGCTGGGGTGGCCTTGAGCATGTGTGCCACTGCACCCCAGCCTGGGCAAAGGAGTGAGACTCCAACTCAAAAAAAAAAAAAAAAAAAGAAAAAGAAATCTTGAGAGGTTACTTGCCTAAGCCCTTGCATCAAAGTGTCCTAAGTACTGTATAAATGATAATAATAGCTCCTGAAGAGCATGTCTTTTTCTTTGTTGCCTCATTATTTTTGAGAAAATAATTATTATATGTCATTTCTTCCAAGTAACTGGAAATATAAATATAACAAATTGGGGCTGTCTGCAGTGGCTCAGGCCTATAATCCCAGCACTTTGGGAGGCCAAGGCAGGTGGATTGTCTGAATCCAGGAGTTCAAGACCAGCCTGGGCAACAGAGCTATACCTTGTCTCTACAAAAAAAAAAAAAAAAAAATTAACCAGGCATGGTAACGTGTGCCTGTAGTCCCAGCTACTAGGGAGACTGAGGTGGAAGGATCGCCTGAGCCCAAGAGGTCGATGCTGGGGTGACCGTGAACGTGAGCGTGCTATTGCACTCCAGCCTGGGCAACAGAGTGAGATTCAAACTCAAAAAAAAAAAAACGTCCTGGAATCTGTGATACGTCTTGGATAGATATCTCACTACACCTACCTAGTTCTAGTGCCAGATGGCTCTAGCTAGACAGCTTCCCCTTTTATTGAATCAAAATGTACCTCTGTAACATCACTCATTAGTTCTTTTTCTGCCCACTCTGTTAACTTTTTCTCCTAACTACATCATTTCTTTTGTAGCAATACTGTCATTTCCCCCTTTAAAATTTGTCACCCTGCAACAAGGCATGGTGGCTCACACCTGTAATCCCTGCTACTCCGGCTGAGGCGGAAAGATCGCTCCTGGGAGGTTGGAGCTGCAATGAACTATGATCACGCCACTGCACTCCAGCATTAGCGAGAGAGCAAGACCCCATCTCTTTAAAAAATTAAAATAAATAAAAATAAAATGTGTCACCCTGCAAGAGACGCCATATCTCCTAAAGGCTTGTCCAGCACTGACATTAGGGAAGACCTACCTCCTTGCTACTCCTCACCATTCTCCTGTTAGCCATAGCTTCTATAGCTTACTTTATTTTTTTTTTTGAGTTGGAGTCTCTGTCACCCAGACTGGAGTACAGTGGCCACTCTCAGCCACTGCAGCCTCGATCTGCTGGGTTCCGGCGATCCTTCTGCCTCAGCCTTCCAAGTAGCTGGAACTACAGGCACGTGCCCCCACGCCTGGCTAATTTTTTGATTTATTGTAGAGATGAGGTTTCACCAAGTAGCCCAGGAGGGTCTCGAACCCGCAGGCTCCCAAAACACAAATTACAGGCTGAGCCACCAAGCCCGGTTTTTTTATTTTTTGAGTTGGAATCTCACTCTGTTGCCCAGGCTGGAGTGCAGTGGCATGCTTACGGCCACCCCAGCGTCAACCTACTGGCCTCTGGCGATCCTTCCGCCTCAGCCTTCCAAGTAGCCAGAACTACAGGCACGCGCTACCATGCCCGGCTAATTTTTGATTTATTGTAGAGACAAGGTCTTACCACGTTCCCCAGGTGGGTCTCGAACCTGTGGGCTCAGGCAATTCACTTGTCTCTGCCTCCCAAAGTGCTGGGATTATAGGCTGAACCACCGAGCCTGGCTCTTAGCTTACCTTTATTCAGTCAGTAGTAGCTATTGAGTGTTAACCATTTGCAGAGCGTTATACCCATTCTCCTGTAGAGGTATGCTTTTAAATTATAACACAAATGGGCAATTTGGAGGAAGAGATTCAGCTTTTTACAAAGGAATCTCATTATAAGTAGTTATAAGTACTGAGGAAATGCATAAGTGATCAGAGCTAGGTAGGACTACTGAGGGAAGTCTTCCTGGAAAAAGTAATTTGTTAACAGTTTTGACAGAGAAATGACAACCATAAATAGTGAGATTTAGAAAATAGAGTAAGTATAGAGTTACTTAGAGCACAGAGCTTGAGGATGGCCACCTGGAAACACCAACTCTGGATGAACAGGGTGAGCACTGGAAAGTGGAGAAGTTAAGCTTTCACTTAAATAGAAATATTAGCAGCATTTTCCACACAAGACCAGTGCCTGTGCCACAGTGACTTGATTGGTTACAGAGAGCCACATCCCAAGGAAGATTGCTTTGTTACTCTGTGAGGAGGGGTAGTGATCTGTGGGGGTTTTATCTCTGGTGGCTTTTGGTCTTTATTATTTAGACGAAAAAAAAGAAATTGCAACTGCATGCCGAGTGATGCTGGTTGTTTAGCCACATTTCTTCTCAGGGCTTGGTATAATTTAAGAAATTAAATTATGAGAACTTCAGTATGAGTTCGTTTAAGTTGGATCTATTTATTTATTTACTTACTTATAATCAGATTCCCACTCTGTTGCCCAGGCTGGAGTGCAGTGGCACACTCCGGCCACTGCAGCCTCAACCTGATGGGCTAAGGCAATCTTTCCACCTCAGCCTTCCAAGTAACTAGAACTACAGATGCATGCCACCATGCCCTGCTGATTTTTTATATTTGTTGTACAGATGAGGTCTCACCAAGTTGCGCGGGCTGGTCTCGAGCCCCTGAGCTCAAGCCATCCACTTGCTTCAGCCTCCCAAAGTGCTGGGATTACAGGCATGAGCCACCGTGCCAGCCTATTTATTTTCACATAAGAGTGAAGTCATTTGAAAATGGGGAGCACATAGCTAGGTATATCCTTACGCTGAGGTGAAAGGATTGCCTGAGCCCAGCAGGTCGAGTCTGCGGTGGCCATGATCGTGCCACTGCACTCCAGCCTGGGCAGCAGAGTGAGACTCCAACTTAAAAAAAAAGAAAGAAAATGGGGACCACATTCCAAGAATGACTTGTGAAGTTTCAGTCTTGGAAGTGAGCGTGTTTGGTGTAAGGATAAGGAAACCAGTGAGCTTAAAAGGAGGCAGTCAATCCCGGGTCACTGATGTGCTTAAGATCTTTTTCTCACGGAACATCTTCTGAGAACGCTGGAACTGCCAGACTTTAGCCTGCTGGTATGAATGACAGTATGAAGATTTGCTAATTGTATATGCTTTTTCTTTTAATGACAGCTTAGGCACATATGCATCTTTACATGGGAGAATCTACTGTAAGCCTCACTTCAATCAGCTCTTCAAATCCAAAGGCAACTATGATGAAGGCTTTGGGCACAAACCGCACAAGGATCTGTGGGCGAGCAAAAATGAAAATGAAGAGACTCTGGAGAAACCAGCCCCGCTTCCAAATGCAAGAGAGACCCCTCAGAGCCCAGGAGTAGAAGATGCCCCCATTGCTAAGGTGGGCGTGCTGGCTGCAAGCATGGAAGCCAAGGCCTCCTCTCTGCGGGAGAAGGAAGACAAGCCGGCAGAAACCAAGAAGCTGAGGATCGCCTGGCCACCCCCAACCGAACTTGGCAGTTCTGGAAGTGCCTTGGAAGAAGGGATCAAAGTGTCTAAGCCCAAATGGCCCCCTGAGGATGAAATCAGCAAGCCTGAAGCACCTGAGGATGTGGATCTGGATCTGAAGAAGCTGAGACGGTCCTCTTCGCTGAAAGAAAGAAGCCGCCCATTCACGGTAGCAGCTTCATTTCAAACCACTTCTGTCAAGAGCCCCAAAGCTCTGTCCCCACCTATCAGGAAGGGCTGGAGCATGTCAGAGCAGAGTGAGGAGTTTACAGGAGGAACAGTAGTAGAGAGGAAACAAGTGGAAAATGCCAAGGCTTCCAAGAGGAATGGGAGCGTGGGCAAAACAACCTGGCAACACAAGGAATCTGGGGGTGGAGAGGCAGGGAGAAGTAAGGAGCCTCATGGCTTTGAGATAGGGGATGAGAATCTTGTAGAAAATGGCGCAAACTTAGATGAAGATGACAGCAGCTTCCTCAGACAGCAGTCTCCACTACAACCCAAGTCTCCAAATTGGCCCGGTGTTGTAGACAACACCTCTACTAGAGAATTCACTCCTCAGATATCCCAGGATGTGGGATTCTGGGATGGAGAAGCGGTCCAAGAGCTCTCTGTGGAAGAGCAGATAAAGAGAAATCGGTACTATGACGAGGATGAGAATGAAGAATGACACGTTGCAGCGGTGCTGGGCCTTAAGTTCATGTTAGTGTTAGTGAGCCACTTGCCCTTTGTCCAAGCGTCACGTACAGAAACAGCTATTGTAGCGTAAAATGTAATTTATGTGGAAGTAACTTTGGAAAAGAGTTTCTGCTTCAAAAACAAACCTTACTGCAGCTTAAGTGAACCAATTCTAAGTATTAGGGATAATAGTACTTAAATCTTCCATTTTAGAGTGATGATATGTATAAGTGCTTTAAGGTCTTATAAAGTGGGGAAATACTCCAACTGATCTAGTCCAGTTCCACTGCATTCTGGAAAGGCAACATTAAAGTAGGTAGATGATTAGTAAGACATTGTAACACTATAAATACTATTGTGGAATTAAAGAATTTACAGAAGGGATTTAGAGGCTTCAACATTATGATGGAATGCACTTTAGTATAAAGGGCACAGTTTGTGTATTTTAAATGAATACCAATGTAATTTTTTAGTATTCATCTGTTAAGAGATCAAATGTTTTAGTCTTTTAAAAATTTTGTAGGTTAATTTTCTTACTTTGATATATATGGGGGGATTTACTGCTTTGCTTCCTGCTCTCCATGCTGGACTGAATCATTGAGGTATAACACAGCCATCTTTTCAGAGCACTTTTTGAGGCAGTTGAAGAACCAACCCACATGCTTTGGTGCTTGGAGAGATCCTGTCTCCCAAATAAGCTATGGTATTGCCAATGAGTTTGACTAAACCTCAAGTGATTGCTTTCTTTCCTGGTGGTATCTGTGCTTCTCATAAGTTACTGAAAGCTGCAGTATTTTTGGAAGACCTTTGGGATGTGAGAGCAAAGTGAGGAGTTTAAAGGAGGAATAACAGAGAGAACCGCCTTACACCCCTTGAGTCCTGACCTCTGAACCCTGGTATTCCACTTTGGATGTACCCTTTCTGAGATACTAATTTTTAAGTACTTATTAGCTCTGAAATACATTGATGTTTATGGCACACGGTATTCCCAGGGTGAAATTAAACCAACTGTAGGCCTTTTTCTGGGGAGGGTTTTCTACTATTAGGGCTTTGGAACACATCTGTTGTACATAATTGATATTCCAAATCCAAATTGTATGTATGGGAGGGAGAGGTGTTTCAAGCTATAGCTTTTCTTTGTACTGCATTTATAGAGATTTAGCTCTAATATTTTTTAGAGTTGTAAAATATTCTGCTTTCTTACAGTCTTGCTTAGTTTGGAACATTTTTATTCAATAAAGCTTTTGATTAAAATTTGAACCTTTCGGTGCTCCTTTCCATTATTTCTTTACATTGTTACAGTCTCTCAGGATCTACTTCTACTTTAGCAGCTTGGGAGGAAAAGACAAATAGGGATACTGTACTGTGTTTTAGGTGGAGAGAAGTGCTATCAATACATCTCACCAGTAGGTGGTGTTGTTGGGCTGATCTTGGGCTCTTATTCTCCATGAAGAAAGACAATTTTTTCTAGAAAATTGCAAACAGCTTGGCAAGAGAATTAATGGGTGCATTCAAAATGAGCTGTTTGTTTCATTAATTCAAAATCCAGTCGTGGTTTTCATTGTTCATTGTACTCAACATTTAATAATTCACCTTACAATTATGCCTAACATGCTAAATGGAACTTCTAAATGCCTCTGCTGAAAATTGATTTGTTTTCCACTCTGCGCCTATTCCTTTCTTTTTTTTTTCCCCTAGAGACAAGGTCTCGCTCTGTTGCCCAGGCTGGAGGATGGTGACGAGAACATAGCTCACTGCAGCCTCAAACTCCTGAGCTTATCCTTTTGCCTCAGCCTCTGAGTAGCTACAGGTGTATCTCCATGCCCACCTAAATTTTTTTTGTTTGAGTTGGAGTCTCACTCTTGTCACCTAGGCTGGAGTGCAGTGGCACACTCATGGCCACCACAGCCTCCACCTGCTGGACTTAGGCAATCCTTTCAGCCTTAGCCTTCCAAGTAGCTGGAACTACGCACACCACCATGTCCGACTAGTTTTTGTGATTTATTGTAGAGACGAGGTCCCACCAAGTTGTCCAGGCTGGTCTGAAACCTCTCAAATCCTCTCACTTCGGCCTTCCAAAGTGCTGGGATTACAGACTGAACCACTGCACCTGGCCTTTTTTTTTTTTTTTTTTTAGACAGTCTTGCTCTGTTATTCAAACTGGAGTGCAGTGGTGCGATCATAGGTCACTATAACCTCGAACTTCTGGCCTCAAGCGATCCTCCTACCTTGGCCTCCCAAAGTGCTGGGGTATAGGTGCGAACTACTACACCTGGTCAGATGCATTTTTGATTGTTTCATTTCCTTGCCTGTAGAGACAACTGCCCCAACCATTAAAGCTTTTTTTAATGGTAGGGTGTAAATGTGGATTTTCTTGGAAAGAGAGGCATGCTTTTTTTGTTTGGTTGGTGTTTTTTGTTTTTGTTTTTTTTTTTGAGTTGGAGTCTCACTCTGTCGTCCAGGCTAGAGTGCAGTGGCACACTCACAGCCACTGCAGCCTTGACCTGCTGTGTTCAGGCCATCCTGCTACCTCAGCCTTCCAGGTAGCTGGAACCACAGGTGTGTGCCACCACGCCCAGCTAATTTTTTTATTTATTGTAGAGACGAGATCTTGCCAAGTTGTCCAGGTCAATCTTGAACCCGTGGGCTCAAGCAATTCTCTTGCCTCTGCCTCCCAAAGTGTTGGGATTACAGGCGTGAACCACCATGCCCCGCCTAATATTAAACATTCTTAGGGGGAAAAAAGCAAAACAAAACAAATAAAACCTTATAGCTGGCCAAGTGTGGTGACTCAAGTCTGTAATCCCAGCACTTAGGGAGGCTGAGATGAGAGGATTGCCTGAGTCCAGGAGTTGGAGACCAGCCTGGGTAACTTGGTGAGACATCATCTCTACAATAAATCAATCAATAAATAATTAGCTGGGCATGGTGGTGTGTGCATGTGATTCCAGCTACTTGGAAGGCTGAGGCAGGATTGCCTTGGTCAAGCAGGTCGAGGCTGTGGTGGCCGTGAGCGTGCCACTGCACTCCAGCCTGGGCGACAGAGACTCCAACTCAAAAAAAACAAAAAACAAAAAACAAAAACCTTATAGCCAAACAAGGTTTCATTGCCCTTTCAGCTCTTTGAAAAGAACTTTGTTTGGACTTAGTATGTCAATGGTGACTTGTGAATGATGTAAGTTTTCCTGTGGTTGAAGTGGAAAAAGGGGCCAGCTTGAGACTTGAGATGGCTAAGGAGACTCTGTTCATGACTGTTACAAAGCCAACATGGTTCACTCTTGGCCACAGTGAAAGGTGCACCAAGTTTGCTGGCATTATGTATTTCATTAGCAATATGTTGTCTAACAGCCAAGAAGTTGAGAATTGGTGCAAGTGTGTTTTTCTAGGGATAGAATAATGAATAGGGGTCTCAGGCCAAGATTATTGTGCACTGGTGACAAGTTAGCATGCTCTCTGTTCCTTGGCGCTCTGATTTAAATTCCCATGAGACCAGAAGGGGAGTTTACTTCCTTTTAAAATATATCTTGAAGCCGGGCTCGGTGGCTCAGCCTGTAATCCCAGCTCTTTGGGAGGCTGAGGGGAGTGGATTGCCTGAGCCCGC